CCAAAAGACCCCCATACCTCTGCACCTGCCTGCCCTGCCGCTGCATCAGGATGCGTTGGTGCTGCGGGTGAAGCTGGGTCATGTGGCCGGGTGTGCTGCAGGAGACACCAGACAGGGGTCAAGGGGAGTTTTGGGACACGTCCAGAGTGAGGTGACCCCCAACTGCTTTGTAGGGCCCCTCCAGTCCCACCCCAACATCCCACTCCGGCTACCTGAAGTTCAGCTGGCCCGTGGCTGAGGGGCTGAAGAAGACAGCAGGGTCCAAAGAAGAGGACATGGGCCTGAGGTGCATGCCATGGGGCCGCGGTGGGCTGCCCATGGTGGGGGACCCAGGCTGGAAAGGGGTCGGAGGCACGTACCCTGCTGTCTGAGAGGGAGAGAGGAGATCAAGGGTCTGAGCCTTCCCCTCTGAACATCCCAGAGGGGTCAGCCAGCTCTGTGCTGGCTTCTGGCTCCTATTCCTCTGGCAAGGTGCTACCCGCAGACACTGCCACTCCACGGCCACCTGAGTGGGGCCATGGCAGTGGCTCAAAGCCCACCACATTACCTGGTTGGGAGTGAAGACCGGAGGGGTCCTGCAAGCTGGTGGGAAGGGTTGAGGAGAGCACGGGGAGCGAGGAGATATCAGGGGTGCCTGGTGCAGAGCAAGACACAGGAGGTGTCACTCAGACAAGCCTGCACCTCCAGGGAAGGGAGGCAGAGAAAGAAGGGATGCAAGAGTAGCCCCAAACCTGTTACCTGCTGGAAAAAGCACTGGGAGAAAGGCTTGGGGGACATCAGTCTTAAGTCAGGGCACTTGAGCCGGGAAGAGCCCCCATAGCCCCTCTGCACAGGAGAACCAAGGAAGTCAAGAGCCATGCTGGCAGATGGTGGAGGTCTCTCCAGGACCTGAAGAATGGCTTTATCCTGTGGGGAGGAGTCAGCAGCAGGTGGGAACAAGGCACAGCTGGGAAAAGTTTAGCTCCCTCAGCAATAGGCAGCTCACTAAAACCTTTGGTCACAGCTCAACCAACACCAGCTGGGCTCCCACACTGGTAGTGTGGAGCAGCTGGAGACCTATGGGAATACCCAGCATGGGGCTCCCCCAAACTCAACAACTTTGCCTTCAAACCCAGGCTCTGCTTTGAGTGGGCACTCACAGCCTTGGCACCAAAGACACATCTGGGCACACCCAGAGCCATTTGGAGATGCCCAGGTGTCCCAAATTCCTTGTGTAACCCTTGTTCCAGAGTAATGGGGAGCCCTTAGCCACTCCCTGAAGGGCTGGCTGGAGGTACCCACCTCCAGCATGAGGTGGCGTGGGACACTGCCAGGGCAGGAGCCCCATGCTGTGGGATCCATTGCCAGCTGCAAAACAGGGAGATGTTGGCATGAGGCAAGTGAACAGGAGGAGAGAGCAGGGGACACCACAGGAGCCACTCTGCCTCATCACCAGATGGATGGGGACATTTTTACCATGTCCTCCTTGCCAAACTCTTCCCAGCAAGTCCCAATCCCGCTGTCCAGCACTGCTGAGTCCTGGCTCTGCAAGGAAGGGGGAGTTAAAGGTCTGCCTCCCTGCCCCGGTGCCCTCTGTGGGGCAGGACCCAAAGGTGTGGGGATGGATGGGAGAGCAGCAGGACCGCCCATCCCCTCACACATCACCTCCAGTGTGGGTTTGCTCCGCACAGCTCTCATCACTGCTGGGTCTCCCAGTTCACTGGGCTCCTTAGAGCACTCTTGATCATCCTCCTGTTCCACAGTCCCCAGCTCCTCTACCTCTTCCTCCAACTGAGAGTTAACTTGCTCCATCTCTGGCTCCATCCCACCTTCCTCCTCGGCCAACTCCTCAGCTGCTCTTCCAGTTGCCTCTACCAGCGCTTTGGCCGCCTCAGGGCTTATCTCCGGTACCACCAGGAGTTTTGGGACATCCTCCTCTGTGGAGTCTCGGTCTTAGAGGGGGGAAGCAGTGCACAGCAGGGTGGGTGAATGCCTAGGCAGCGTCCACCAGGGTGTCTGCTCCCCCCAAGTGCTGGCAGGTCTCTCCAACACCAGGACTCCCCTGAGGTCTTACCTAACCCAAAAGTCATCTCGTTGTACAGGTCGAGCTCCTCATCCTCCTCAGCCATCTCTTCCAGCAGAAGTGCATCCTCCACCAGCAGAAAATCCTCGATAATCTGGATTTGGAAGCAGCGGGTTCCTTGCTAAGGGAGAGATAACCCTAACATGTTCCCAAAGTGGGGGGGGGGGGGCACCCAACCTCCCTCTCACTCTACTGGTGGTGCCAGGCAACCCACAGGGCTCTCAGCTAGAAAAGGGAAAAGCAGGAGCCAGGGGCACTGCCAGCGAGGACAGGACCCGCAGCTCAGCCCACGGACGCTGCCGGCACCTGCGAACGCCGGCACGGAACGGCACCAGTGCGGCTGGGCTGAGACACCTTTAGGCTTCAGAGTGAACCCGCTACGAGGGCACGGGCGGCTCGCGAGCGCAAGGCTGGGAAGAGCATCCCACCAGCACCTCCAGGGCAGAGTCTGCTCCGAGACCGACCGCGCCGGGGAGCGCCAGCCCCGGAGAACGAGCACCGCAGAGGGAGCGGGACGCCGTGAGGCGGCGGCGGGCAGAGGGGAGCGGAGCAGGGCAGGCACTCACAACGCGCTCGCCGCCCTCCGCCATCCCGCGGCGCCGCCTCCTCCCGCTCACCCACCCTCCGTCCGTCCCGGGTCCCTCTACGGGACCCTCGGCCCCGCCGCCCCCTTTATGGGCCGCCCCCGCCGCCCCGGCATGCGCCTGCCGTACAGCATGGCGGCTCCCAGCAGCGTCCTGCGCCTGCGCACTGGCGCGGCCGTGCCCCGCACGAGCAGCCCCTGGGGCTGGGGGCGCGGTGAGGATGGAGAGGGGCAGTGGCCGTGACCGCAGCTGCGGCTCTCGGAGCACAGAGCACCCCTGCCCGGCTTTCCCCGCTGCTGCCATCGCTCCTTGACTGCTGTTCTCAGAGCTGATATCCTTCTCAGGAGTTATGGAAAACTGGTGGGATGTGGTCTGTCAGGATTGAATTTCTAGAAGGTAACACCGAGCACAGATGTCAACACTAACACTATAAACTTCTGCATCCCACAAAGCATAGTGGGTTGCCCTTATCCCCCTAAATTACCCCCCTGAATACTAGGAGCACCGTGGTCATATCACCTGGTCCCAAATAATTCTTCCAATATTCTGCTAACAAAAGCGGAAGTGTCCCAGAAGTGGAAGATTTGGCTACTCTAACCAAATCACTGTGGCTTTTAATAAATGTCATGTGGAAGAGTTGTGCTTCTCTTTACTGGGAAATTCTGACAGGTAGTGTGGGTTACAGCAGAGTCATTGCCAGGGATTCACATCCCAAAGGGCCCATGGAAAAGACCCATGTCCTGCCATCCTCTCCCTGAGATGAGGGGATTGGGCAGAGCCAGATTCACCTATGGGACACTGGGGTGGTGACTCCTGCTGTGGTGACCTAATAACAACTCTGCCACCCATGGAGCACTCAGAGATTATTTCTGCCAGAGCCCTGAGATCCCTGATAAGTCTCTGGCCACAGCTGCATCTGTTTATCCCACACTGAGAAAAACATGGAGTGTTTTCAGCTGTGTGGCTGGCACTTCTCACTGAGTAAGCCAGCAAACCCAGCTGGAGCTGGGCCAATGGGAACTGATAACAAGTGTTTTCAAGACTTTCCCTCGCTTGGCCTCTCCTGATTTATCTGCTGCCTTTGGAGTGTTCTCCATACATGCTTTGTTAATTTAATTTGTGTTTTAATGAATTGCATTAAGAGGTGCATTAAAAAAGCAGGTCCTAAAGGAACTTAGTGTTTTGGTACTTATACCATGCTGCTGTTTTCTCTCTATTAGCAGTGACTTTCTTTTCTTTTCCCTTTATTTTCCTTCCAAGCAGCACTACTGGGACACTCAATGGCATTCCTAGCCTCAATGGGCTTTGGTGCTCAGAGTTCTTCTGGAGGAGGCAGCAGAAAACCTGTTTCTTTGGTGTTAGAATTCTCATGTTTTATGTCAGGGAGTCTCTGCTGTGCTTAAACAACAGTCAGTTTCTCACCCTGCAGCTGCTGGAATGAGACATTCCACACAGGTTTTGAAAGAGGTTAAAAAAGGCAGGTGGATGGCTTGCTCCCCCATAGGCTGTTGGTGTAATACCGGCCCTGGATGCAGAATCTTCTGCAAGAGGTGACTTTTACCCCCTTTTAAGTTGGTAAAGCTGTCTGTGACCATCAAGTCAAATCATTCCTCCAGCACTGCCAAGACCAACACTAATCCATGTCCCCAAGTGCCACATCCACAGGACTTTTAAATCCCTCTAGGGATGAGGACTCCACCACTGCCCTGGCAGCCTGTGGCAAGGCTGTACAGCCCTTTCAGAGAATAACTTTTCTCACATATCCTATCTAAACCTTTCCTGGTGCTACTTGAAGCTGTTTCCTCTTGTCCTCACTTTTGTTCCCTGGGAACAGAGCACAACCCCACCTGGCTGTCTCCTTCTGTCAGGGAATTGTAGAGAAAGAAGGTCCCCCCGAGCTTCCTTTTCTCCAGGCTGAGCCCCCCCAGATCCCTCAGCTGCTCTTGGTGCTCCAGCCCCTTCCCCAGCCCTGTTCCCTTCCCTGGACACGCTCCAGCCCCTCAACGTCCTTCTTGTGAAAGGCGCAGAACTGACCCCAGGATTTGGGGTCAGCAGTGCCCAGCACAGGGGTCGGGCGCTGCCCTGGGCCCGTGGCCATACCGGGACTGGTCCAGACCAGGTGCCATTGCCCACCCGAGCTCACGTCCAGCCGCTGTTGCCCGACGCCCCGGGGTCTCTGCCCGGGTCTCTCCCCACATCCAGAGCGGAACTGAAAGCGAAAGCGCTTCCATGCTGGCTCGCACAACCCCGCAGGTCCCGTTCTGCCTGGAAACTGATAACGTAGAGGCCGCTCCGCGCCACGATTGGCCTGGATTCCGAAGGCTATAAAAGGCGGAGACCGGGTGGGGATGGGGCAGTCGGGAAACGGCGGGGCAGCGAGGAGCGGCGATGGCGCGGAGTGCCCTGGCGCTCGGCGTGCTTGCGCTGCTGGCGCTGCTCGGCCTGGGGGCGGCCGCTGGTGAGTGCCTGGGGCGGCGCGAAGGGTCCTGACGGGGGTGGGGGGCTGCGGGGTCCCGGCGGCTCCGGGTTACTGTTGCGGGTGGGTGGGCGAGTGTTGGCATGGAGGCGATGCCCACGGCAGTCCCGCTTCTCACTCGCCCTCGCCCCTCTCTTCAGAGTCGCCGAAGGTGGAAGTTTACGCCCGTTCACGCGCCGAGGAGGGAAAGGAGAACATCCTCCACTGCTTTGTCACCGGCTTTCACCCGCCCAAGATTGACATCAAACTCCTGAAGAACGGGGAGCCCATTCCCGGCGTCAAGTACGGGGACTTGTCCTTCAACGAGAAGTGGCAGTTCCAGCGCCTGGTCTATGTGCCCTTCACCCCCACGAAGGGGGACACCTTCTCTTGCGAGGTGGCGCACTCCACCATGCCGAAGTCACGCAATTACCTATGGGGTATGTTGTTCTCTCCTGCATGCTGTAGCGCCTTGTTTTATATCCATGCTGTCTCAGTTCCTGTTCCTGGGAAGCAGGGTGTTGTAACGGAGTGGGGTGTGAAGGTTAGAGATAGAAAGCTGATTTGGTTTTAGCTGAAAAGGCTGTTACGCGTACCTGTGAAGGATTCAGGGAGGACACGCTGTTAATCCATGGGGATTTGGTGATGCCGTGTCACTCATCTCTGCCTTGGTGAACTTAACTAGAAAGTGACGGGTCGTGCAGTGAATTTTTGCTTTATATTGTGTAAATATAAAGAAGGGCGCAGCGGTCAGGGCTGATGGTGTTGACCTTGCCTCAGGTACAGCTGAAGGCAACTCTGGTTACCACACTGGGGCTGTTTCCGGGGGGAACCTTGTGGGGACAGAGAAGAGGGGGTGCCATTAGCCCCCAAGTCTAACACTCTGTGCTTCTTTCCTGCAGAACCAGACTTCTGAGCTGCGTCTGGGGTAATCCACGGTGAGTTATTCCCATGCTGTGTGCCATGCTGGTAAGGGAAACACAGGCCCATTTCTGTAGGGAGGGGGGTTTGAAAAGCTGAGGAACAGAAGGAACCACACCCAAAAGGTAGATCATATTTGGGACACAAAAAAACCCTCTTCCCACACTCTGACTATTTTGGTCTGGTTTTGGCCATACCGTGCCTACAAGAGTTCTTTGCTCCAAAAAAGGAGAACTTTTGAGAAAATATTCTCTGCATGTCGTTGCTGCGTCATCTAGATACCACAAAGAGTTGTGGCAGGTCCCCTAGAGCTTCCTCAGGCCCTGAAGTGCTGTTTCCTGTCAGGGGAGGAGCAGGAAGTCACTGTACCCGAGATTCCTGTGCCTCAGGGTGAGTGGCAGGCTGGTTAATCCTGTGGCAGGACAACGCTCTGTGGGATTCATGAGGCACAAACCAGAAACACTTCTGGATTTGTTCACCGGTGTCTCAATCTGAGGGCTCCAAGTTCTTCAAACTATCTGTGTGTAACTGATCTGGATGTAGCAATGGGGAAATTCTAGTTTAACACTTGATCGGGAAAAGAAACTGAGTATGTGGCTCAGCTTGATGTAACCCTGGTTGAAACAGCGTAGGTCTGTGCCCTCTTAGAGGCTGGATAATGATTAACTGTTCTTGGGACAAGCCTTGACAGGACCCTTATATGAAATGCCCCAGTTCCTGCAGAGCAAGAGAAGGTTGTATACAGTCACTCCTCTGGTTTGTCACACACCTTTGGGCAGTGGGGGTGTGAGCCTGGCCCCAGGGCAGGGTCTGCAATGTGCTGTGCTCACACAGCGCCATGGCTTCAGTTGGTGGGACATTGGTGAGGGATGCCAAGTCTGGCTGGAGGTGGGACGTGGGTGATTTCACTTTGGTCGGGGGGACAAGGATTTACTGAGCTGGCGTGGAAAGAGTTGAGAGCAGGACAAACTCCTCCCTGGGGTGGAGAACAAGGATACTCTTGACTTGTTGAGCTCTGAACTCCACGAAGGAGGGGACAGAAAAGAAGTTTCTGCAGGATTTTTACCTGAATCTCACTGGAAGGTGGTTCTGCACGGATGCTGCAGTCAGACTGCTCTGAGGAAATTGGTTTTTAGTCCTAAAATAATTGCAGTTGAAGGTGTCACTAGAGTGACTAATGTCAATCTACTCTCTCCATGCAGATCTGGGATATCCTTCTTGCAAGTCAGTCTTCTCAAGCTTCTGTCCATTGTTCATCATAGCCACAACACTGATCAACGTCCTCTCAGAAATTCACTAATAAGCCTTGTTAACAATATCACTTAGCCACAGCATCAAGGGAGCTCTGCAGGTTTTTTGAGCATGTCGCTAAAAATGCCCCCATTGCAGCTTAAAAAAATGGTAACTCTTCACTGTTAAAATTTTTGCAGGATTTTTATACATTAATAAACTGATAGTCCTTAAAATGTTTCTTCAGAGTCATTTGACAAGCTGATTTCACAGGCTGTGATGACCACTGGCTTGTGGGTGGATATGTAACCTTGGTGGTATGATGGGCAATTGTGCTGCTTTTATCCCACTGAGAAGATGCAAGAGCACTTTTCCAAGTGAGAGAGAATTAAAGATTTTTTTTTTTTTTTTTGCTGATGTGGTATCTGCCTGGCTGGAGGCTCCTGTGTGGCTCTGAATGGAAGGTACAAAGTTTAAAAAGGGATGAAGAACCTTGGGGATGCAGGGTGGGACACAGAAGGAGCGATGGCAGGGACTGGCTCACTCTAATGGGGACAACTCTGGCGGATGCATCTTGGGGCATGCGATGAGCATGCTGAGCCTGGGGGAAGCAGATGTGTGTTGGTGAATTTCAGTTCTGGTTTTCTCTGTGCTTGAGCCCATGGAGAAGTGCAGTTCAGGCCAGTCCACTGTTGTACTGTGGGGGATTGATGACACCACCCAAAACCAATGCTTCTGCCATCAACACATTTTTATTTTATGAAGAAATCAGAATGATTGCTTGAGGAATATTGTATCCAAATGGATTTAAGCAGGATCACGTGTATGGGATCAAGGGTTCCTGGTGACTCACGTCATCCCATGTCTCTTCTTGGGTATATTAAGATTTGCTGTTATGGTGTCTCAGAACATACACAAGATTTTTGATGGATATTGTCTTGTTCCACAGCTATTTTCATTATAACCGATTTGTTTTTGTTAGGGATTTGGAAAATCCAGGCTGTTGCAGTTCTAACACCCTCATGGTAGGTTGCTGAGGGGCAGGGCCCGTTACAGGGATCCCTTTGGGTTCATCAGAGGGGTATTAAAGGCAGGACAGGCCGGGCTGTCATGGCTGGGCAGTTGTGCACAGTGCTCATCTCTCAGCATGGGACAGCAGTTCACAACTCAGCCTGCAGCACCAGATGTGCTCTGGTAACCAGGCAGCCCCAGCAGCGCTCCTTGTGTGAGAGAAGATGGCCTGGGAGAGGGGAAAAGATTTCAGCTTCTCTCCCAGAGACCCCCGTGGAGCAGCACAAGGTGCTGTGTGAGCTCAAGGAGCTGTGGAACATGTCCTGGCCTCCCATGGATCATGAAGGGGCCACCAAAGTGCTTTCCACCACCTCAGCTTCACCTTTCCTATCATCAAGAACACCAGAATAATTGCTGGGTAACCACTCTGCCAAGACATCTTTATCCTAATTAAGACAGGAGTGGAGTAAACTGCAGAAACTGAAGATTCTGTTGAGGCAATGTGAAGTGACCCTGTCTCCAAAGGACACGTCATCATCTTCCCACACTGGGGACATGCCCTGTTTGCCTCTGTGGGATTTCTCTGTTCTTAAGAAACATTTTGATGGTTTACTCAAAAATCCCCTGTCTGTGGGAGAACAACACATGCTCATGCCAGAGGCTGATTTCCTTTAACTGCTGGATTTCAGAACTATGTCCAGAAATACCTTCTCTGTTTTATCCAGCATCTTTGGGGTTCTGAGGTACTCGGGATGTTGCTCTGCTGCTGCTGCTGGCAACAGTTCCCCAGGGATGGGGAATCCTGAGGGATATCTTGGGAAGCTTCAAGCATGCAACAAGCCTCATTTGTGATTTATGAAATAAAAGCATTTTTTCTGCAAGCAGTTTCCAGAATCAGCAAAATGCAAGTGCTTTTCTGAGAAAAGCTTCTAGGAGAGCAAGGTTCGAGCCCAACTCCTAACTCTGCACGGGACACCCCAAAACCCCACCCTGTGTCTCAGAGTGTTGTCCAAGCGCCCTTGGAGCTCTGTCAGGCTTGGGGCTGCCCTGGGGAGTTGCTCCAGTTCCACACTGAAGGGGAAGAACCTTTCGCTAATATGCCGCTTAAAGCTCTCTGACACAGCTCCGCCGGGTTTTCCCAGCACCGCTTCCCCTCAGGGCGGTTCCCGCCTCCCCCCAGCCCCTCAGGGCTGTTCCCGCCTCCTTCCAGCCCCTCAGGGCGGTTCCCGCCTCC